AAAAAAAAAAATGAATATCAAATAACTAATTTCATTGTAGTACCCATAGTGCCTCCAAGACCAAGAGCCAACAGTATTATGAATCGAAAACTATCAAATGAGCCAAATAGTGCACATTAAGTGCTTTTTTGAATAAAAAAAATCATTTTACTTGTGTAAATGTTTTATAAAGTAATTGATCATTGAATTTATTGAAAGATAAAATATACAAAAAGTTAAAAAAAAAATAAATATGGTCTATACATCAATTTAGAAACCGGTCATGGCCAAAAGGGCAGCAGGGATGGCCAAGGCAACAGCAGAGACCATGTTGCGACCACTGCCTGAGGTAGGGGAAGTAGTGGAAGATCCAGAGGCCTTGGGGCTAGAACCACTGGCGTTTGAACCGCTAGAAGCAGAGCCAGAGGATGAGAGACCGGTAGGAGAAGAGGCAACACCAGTTGAGGCAGCAGAAGCGGCAAGGCCACCAAGACCAGCGCTAGAAGAAGAAGCTCCAGAAGCAGCGGCACCAGCAGCAGATGGAGCAGCAGAAGCGCCGGAACCAGAGGCGGCATTACCAGAGGCAGCAGCACCGGCAGCAGAAGGAACACTAGAGGCACCAGCACCAGCACCAGAGGCAGAAGGAGATCCGGCAGAAGCAGAAGCTCCAGAAGCACCAGCACCAGCACCAGTATCGGCACCAGCACCGGATTCAGAGTCAGAGCCAGAAGCACCAGCTCCAGAAGCACCAGTACCAGATGTAGAGTCAGAAGCGGATTCGCTGGATGAACCAGAGCCAGATGCAGAATCACCAGCACCTGAATCAGACTTTGTACCTCTCTTTACGGGAGCAGAAGCAGAGGATGGAGTGGCAGAGGCAGAAGGAGCACTGGGGGAAGTGGAGTCGGAAGAGTCTTCAGAGCCGTCACTGGTAGAATCGGCAGCACCAGATTCAGCAGAGCCAGTTGTGTCGTCTGCACCAGGTTGATCAGAGTCGGTAGAGGTTTCAGTGCTGTCACTACCATCGGAACCAGTTGTGTTATCAGCAGTGGCGCTATCATCAGAACCAGCTGTGTTATCGGCGTCAGCGCTGTCATCACCAGTGGCATCAGTACTGTCATCAGAGCCAGTGTTAGCACTATCATCACCAGTATCACCAGCACTGTCGTCGGAACCATCAGCATTAGCACTATCATCACCAGTAGCATCTTCAGAGTCGTCAGGTGTAGAAGCGGCAGCGTTAGATGTTGTACCAGAGCTAGCAGAAGCACCAGAAGCAGCAGTAGAGTTGCTACCACCATCGTTTGAAAGGACCAAACCACCAATGTAAGCCATTTGACTAGGATCTTTACCGACAGCCAAAGAATAGTCGCTTCCAGCTGTAGCGTTCTTGGGAACTTCGACTTGTGTAGAACCCTTGGAGGCATCGACATTTTCAGCCAAAGTTTGGACGAGTTGAAGAGCATTGGGGTCACCCTTCATCAAGTTGATGAGCAGCTTATCGACGCTTTGTTGAACATTTTGCCAGGTGACGGTTTCCTTGGAACCAATCTGCCAAGTGGTACCTTGAAGAGGTGAAGTGATAGAAACGGGGCCAGCACCACCAGCACCACCAGCGCTACCAGAGCCAGCAGCAGCAGCAGTACTAGGAGAAGCACTAGCAGCAGAAGAAGAGCCAGAAGGAGGAGCGGCTTGAGGGGCAGCTTCGATGAGAGCAGCAGCGGCAACAAGGATAGCGAGGAAAGATGTCTTCATATTTAATAAGATGGAGGTGATTCGAATGAAGAAAAAAAAGAGAAATGATGGAGGGGGTATTTATATCTATTTTGGTTTGTAGGCTGAGATCGTAAAATGGCTCGAACTTGTTTTTATTTTTAGTAGAAAATCTCTTTGTTATGGCTCATTTCAATTTTAGAAGCTCAATTAAATTTACAGACTACTACTCGTCACTAAGCCCTTAATGATGTCAATCTTTAGAATTTTAAGCTAAAAATCAAGCTAAAATATCGGAGCCCCACCTTTTGATGATCACTGTAGCCAACATATTGGCTTTTTGGCAAAAATTAGGTCAAAGTGTCCTGCATATTTGATCAAACAAGAAAGGCTCTTGAGGTTTTTTTAGTTATTTTCTTTACATTGTTATTAAGGAACCACGGGTAGCATTTTCTTCTAGACTTATCGCTAGCCAATAAGAAAAGATCGCCAAGAGGATCTACGACTTTATGCTGTGTTTAAAAAAAGTAAACTAAAAACGAGATCACTTTTGTAAAGAAAATAAAATCTTTTTATAGAAAATGTTGTGTCTTATGAGTTCACTTTAATTAAGTGAAACACACAGTTTTGAGGCTAAAAATAAAAAGGAGAGAAAATAAAAACATTTACAGTTATGGTAAACTGGTTTATGCAGTAACCAGTTAATGTGCTTGTGTGTTACCTGTCATAGTCCATTAAGGGAAATTACATCACTTGCCACCGCAAATGATCTTTAAAAGACTGCGGTAATAATGAAAATATATCAAACTAACAATAGAACATAAAGAGATCGACACTCGTTAAAATGCATATTTAGGTACAGTCACAAATGCTTTAACAAAGAATAGAAAAGATGACACTTTACCTTTAATGCATAGCCCATTTGCCCATTTATTTATAATATACTCTGGTTTAAACTATATGGGGAAACAGTTATTTATAATACAGCCTTAGTTTATGACGCTAAATCTCATGAAAAATGAAGACCTATGAGGAAAGACATGGGCTGATGTTCCCACTCACATTTGATATTACACATAATATAGAATAAGCGCCTTTACTGACAAAGCTTGATTTCCTTTTTTATTAAGGTTATTTTTCTTACTAATTAACAGGTCAATAAGGTTCAGACCTTTTTATAAGCCCAACAGTAGCTTTGGCTACGTATAAATGCTCTGAGAGAAAATAGATACCTATTAAGGAGTAAAGAACGGGTAATAGAATGATCAAACATTTGACTACGTGAAGCTTATGTATTAAAGAATTTTATATGAGTTTATTACTGAAGCCTCTGTACTCCGTGACCCATAATTACTGTCATCAAAAAGAGCCAATGTACCTCGTCTCATTATAGACAGAGTACAAACCTTCTAGATCGACACCGAGGAGAACTCTAAATACCCAAAAAGGTATTCGAAACCCATTCTCTACATCGAGAGAAAGTCCGACATCAACTTTCCAAATTGTGTCGAGACATGAAATAATTTGTTTATAGCATCCTCTTTCTTCATTTTTCTTGAGAGTGAAGGATAGTCGTCGTTTGTAATCATTTTGTATAATTCAGTTTTCAGAATATTCACTGCTGCATTGGTGTCCTGGCTTCTTATAGCATATGAATGTTGACAACCAATGCAGTCAGAATTGACACACAAGACTGCACCAAAATTGAAGATAATCTGTTTCAGTGTAGACCCTTTACACATGACATATTATATCATGACATTGAAGTTCGAAACGGTTATCTTTATAGCTGTTCTTGCCCTGACTCCTCCAAGCTCTGTAAATATACTTTCCTTGTCAATCATATAATTCAAGTACCTTTTACAGGACGTCCAAGACTGCATGTAACTCCTGCTACAGATAAAAATGCCGCCTTGTCGAATACGACTGAAGAAATGTCAAACAATGCCTTTGGTAAGATTCAAAGCACCAGTAACATGGACGAGAGAAGCTTGCGCTTTAGTGAATTCATCAACGAAGGAGAAAAGTATTGCCAGGTAATAAACAGGTTATGGAAAGAAAAGTCTGTTTTGCTAACCCAGCAAGGCAGGCTAAATGAAATGTCTCTGCTGGTAAACGCTTTGAAAGAAGCAGCTACTGCAGTGTATGACGTTAGAGAATCTCCTTGCACACTTCCAATTAGTAAACTTTCCCTTTTTTTCACAATTGATATAATAAACACTTTGAAAAAAAAGCCTACTTCACTTAATTCATTAACCTTTACTTCAAGAGCATTCACAAAAAAAGTTAAATATTTTAAGTACTTTTCAATATCCGATATAGTTCCTAAAATCTTTGTAACTTTAAAGCTAACCCTCGACACCGACTAATCGAGGTTTAAAAATGTAACAGCATCAAGAGACGATCACACTTCCACTTTTAAACTATTGTATCTTTTTTTAGAGCAGTTCCCAAGTATGGCAACGAGGGCATATTGATCAAAATTGGAACTATAGGTCGAGTATTTATTCGCTTAAAGTCTAGAGTGTTCTTTTATATTTCTTTTGTTTTTATATTTTTATAATTATAGCAATGTATTTCACTTGCTTAATCAGCAAACCCATATAGACATGGTTATGATAACCTTGTTTCCCCCCCTTGATTACATGAATATAACATCAACAACTTCAAGTCATTCATTATGAAGGCTGTTACAATGAGTGGGAAAAAGTAAATGTAAGAGCTCATATTTTCTCGGCAGTTTTTACTCAGGATCATGTATTCCATGAAAGCGTGAATGAGATGTTCCTGCTAAGTAAGCCCAGTCCTTTGAATCCTCTTTAATCTACATGGTCAATTTGAAGGGAATATACATTTTTCCACGCTAAACATATGTCTTTATAAGAAATACTAAAGACTCTAGTAGCAGTACACTCGACAAATGATTATACTTCCTATATACTCTATTGTGTTTATCATCATTTATAAGGTTAATAATCTACGAGATATACGAGAAATCACTTCTTTTGTACCTAAGCCATCCATTAAAGCATATATATTAATATATTAACAAAGGCAAAAGGTTTTAGCCATCTTTTGCCAAATACAGCAATAAATAAGGAACTCAAGAAATAGACAAGAGATACGTCATCTCTATCTCGATAACTTTATATTACGACTCTTCACTTTTTACTTGGCGTATACCCTTAATATCTTTATGCACATAAGCTTTAAGCGATATGCTATTGGGCCCTATAATGCATCAGTTAACAATAAAATAGACTAATTCTAATCTACAAGAGCGTAACTTTAGGACTGAATTTGTGTTTTATATATGATAGGGAACCCTTTGTTTTGTCTGATTTAATTTCATGCACATTTGTTCCATTTCAAACAGAAAAATTCGTAATAGAAGCAAATTTAAAGGTGACATTCTCCCATGAAAGAAAAAAGAAAAGCCATACTAAAAAAATACATTAGCAGGGCATACATTTATTTCCCTTGCTTTTTTTATATGCATACAGCAAGGCCTGAGCACTAATTAAGGCCTTGGGTACTGTTTGCCAATGGCATCTTGTCTATATAATTGAATTGATCCTCTATTGTGTAGATAAGAAAGAGCTGTGGGCTGATGTTTTTGAGTAACATTCGATGTAGAACAACCTTATCTTGCATAATCAAAGATGTATTTGTCTAAATAGGCTTTCAAGTACCCAATTACCCTTACACTTAAATTATGGATAGCAGGGAAAGAAAAAGAATAAAATGACAGGCTTAAAGGTATTCATAGAGTATTAAAAGAAATAGAAGAGATGTTCTTATTGTCATTAAAATGACTACATGGTCAACTTCCCATGCATCAAGTTTTATCTTGACATTTCATATGAAAAATGAGTAACAAATGGGTCGCGCTCTTCTTGAAGTTCTCAAACAAAAACAGAGAATATATAAATCACCCCGTCTGTCCTTTTTTGCTCTCTTTTGATTCAGTTTAGTATAAGAAAGTAGGGACGGGGCTTCCTATCTTCTAGATCTACAATTCACATAATTCTGGAAATTTAATTACCGGGAATGTCAAAAAGACATAAAAGTAGTACCGAGATGATTTTTTTTTGCGCCCGAAGGCTTTTTATAGTACATTCCCATACACATACACAACGATATGGTATATGGATACTTGAGCAAGTATAATACATGAATAAGAGTAAGTGTATCTTATTTTTCACTCGTTTCGTATATAAATTGTATGTTTCTAGAGTGTCAAGAATAAATTCCCTCTCTTCAAGTGAAGCCACCTGAGCTCAGTCTTTTTTTTTTCCAGTCTAAGGGACAAAGCATTAATACTTAACCTTAATTTACTCCCTTGTGTTTCAATTTTGATACATGAACAAATTTCCCATAGCACAAAATGATAATAACTCGTCATTAGCCGTGTTCTTGGTTACTTGAAGGGCTTCTATTCTTTTCTTTCCCTTTCTTCCTTATAGAAATGGGCATTCATTTATAATATTTTGATGATTAGAAAATCAAAACGTCTTTTACGGGTATAAAAGAAGACACACTAATGAGCAACCCTGCATGACATGCTTTACAGTTACCCCAATTCTTTTTTTCTTTTTCCAGACTTCAACCATTGTTATTGCGTTGCAAACAAAACATGAATAGACGCACACAAACTCACACAAGTTGAAAGTAGAATGTGTCAACATGCTAAAGTCACTTTTCAAAAAAAAAAAAAAAACAATTCCTTACATTGTATATAAACATTGCAGTTATTGTTTCTTCTTTTCTTCTTTTCTTATAGATTTTCCTTACTGCATTCATACTTTTAAAAGGCATATTACTACCCCTGAGTTAAAATGAATTCATCTCTTGTCAACGATCAAATGGTGATACATGCACAATTAGTCAATCATGGCTTAAAACCTCTAGATCTAACACATGGTCAATGGTATAAAAGCTTATAAAGAAACAAATAAAAATAGTTGATTAATCTATATATTAGCTCTTGGTGCGGTAAATATGGACACAGACAAAGCAAATGTCCTTATTTAAGATAATTTACAAAACACTCGCTTCTTTGATATATACCCCCTCTTTTTTAAAAATAAAAAAAAACTGTTATTCAACAATGCCTGAAAAAAATAGGCGACACATGTTTTTAATTGTTTAATATTTACCCTTACATCCACTCCATTGTTCACTTATGAATACATTATAAAAAGGCAAGTATCTCTTGTTCTATTCTTTTTTTTTTTTTGCTACAATAAAAAAAGAGAGAGACGATGGAAAATCGATCTTCCGAATCTGACTATTCGCTGTGAAACTAAAGTGGCGACAATAAAACATGAGGTTATATTTAATTGATTCCCAGTTTTTCCTTTTTTTCTCTCTTTCTTTGACCGGTCTTGTCTCTCTCTTTCTCTTTTTCTTTTTTCTCTGACTTGGTTTTTTTCAAAAGGGGATAATCAATGCCTGATTCCGCAAAAATAGACAAGCAGAATCAAGGTGCTGCCTGTTTTCGATGTCGTGGATTCAGGTACACGCGATAATATAAATGAGCAGCGTGTACATACAAATGAGATGATGAACTAATCGCAACTTTTAGACATGCCTGCGATAAAAATAAGCCCTCCTGTTCACGTTGTGCTCGTCGAGGCATCACCTGCGTTTACCCCGAAGCCGCACCGACACTTAAAAAATTACAAAAGGCAACAGAGACGCTCGGTGACCGAATTAAGAAATTTGGTGACAGGATTAAAGCAGGGGAAATGGCGCCTTTATTCAATATTCAATCTGCACAGAATGACATTGGCTCTCCTGCATATTCTAGCAGCGGTAGTAGTGTCTTTTCTGCTTATTCTGAGGAAGAAGATCGACCAAGGATTAAAATACGACGGGGTGCCAAGGTGGCGTCAACAAGTAATTTTTCAGTATATCCCTGCAGCAAGTGTTTTAAGGACTTACAACAATGTGATTTACTTTTACCTCGATGTACACGATGTGAAGCCAATGATTTTGAATGCGGATATAAAAAGACAGAGCCAAAGGCAAATCATGTATCCCAGGTACTGACGACGATGAACAAGGTCATGGATCAGTGGCAGGATTCCATTGATCGCATGGCAAAGGATTTTGCACAAAAGACACGTGATTTTTCAGTCAAGGCCAACAATTCTCTCAAAATCAAGTCTGCACAGACCTCCTGGAAGATCACTGCGACACACAAGGGGATTTCAGTAGAGAGTAACGTGAATTCGTTTAATGACTTTTCTGCATTGGTTGATCAGTTTAAGCGCTCCTTATTTATTTCTCCCAAAGACAAGTATCAGAACAACAATATCAATAGTAAGCAAGATAACAGGAATACCGATGTGTCCTCTGTTATAGACTCAAATTTGGAATTGGATGATGCGAGCTCCATTCATACAACATCTGGTTTTGCCATCTGGAGCCAATGGTCTCACCCAACACATGCTTTACCCAAGGATTACCCTATTGATATCTCTCAAGAACTGACTGACAACTTGATTGAGCTTTACTGCCAGACGCCCTGTTGTTCAAGCATACGATTACCTATTATTGATACAGCTGAATTTCTAGCTCGTTATAAAAGTTCTGATCCTACCAAGCGACCCGCCACTGTTCTGGTGTACGCAATATGTGCCATGGCCGCACGAAATGCATTCCAACTTCACGTCTGGACCAAACGCTCTTCATTTGAAGCGCCACAATACAATATGGGCAAAGCACTCTCTGTCGCTTACTGTCTTCGTGGACGCGAGCTGTTATCCGAATGTTTTGACGAGCCGACACTGGAGCATTGTCAGGCTGCGTTCTTATTATCATACTGTAATTATCAAAATGGATTCCCTGGAGTCATTTATATCTATGAATGGATTGCATTCAATATGGCACAAGAACTCGGGCTATACCAACCCAACCGTCAGCTCAGTCGACATGAAGCAATGCTCATCTGGTGCATCTACTATTGCAATGCATGGTATCGAACACTGCAGCGAGCAGAGAGCAACTCTTCATCTGGAATAAGTCAATGCAAGCCAAGTTGTCCGGTTCCTGATCCTCTGCCAAAGCCCGAATCGACAGGTAATACCAGTTCGCAGCAGCATGATCAAGCCATGGTAGAGTACTATGTATGGAACGCTTGGGTTTATTTGATCCATTTACAAGTGCTTCGTGAAGAATCGATGGTTAGATTAGTGGCCTATCAGCAAAATAAGACTACTGATACGACTCTTGTGCAAGATTTGATAAAGATGCAAGATGTATTGAGAACATTTCGTCAGAATTTACCTTCCGAATGGCAAAAGGAAATGACATCAACTTCATGCTACTCGCCTCTCTCTGTGCATTCTGATACATCCAGCAGTCAAACAGAGGAAAGTGGACGATACTGTATTGATCTCCCATCATTTTCACGCTATTGCATAAACTTTGTGAGTTTACATCACAGCATCAATGAGATAATCCTCAGTCAAGTCTTTGTCCCCATGGATCGCGTCCCGTGTACATCAATCTCAATTCAAAACTTACAAGCTAGTCTAAATGCGGCAAATAACATTACTCAGATATTTGAAATCATGGTTCAGCAAAAGGAAGGATGCCATATACCTCTGATCGGGTTCTTATTTGCAAATATCATTTACAGAAAGCTACTGAGTTATACGGCAGATGAAATCTATTACGATACAGGCAAGATAGGATTATTGCGATCCGTTGAAATAAGTAAAGCGTCCATCAGCTACGTATATGACTTTGAACTATCACGCAGCCTCGTCCATTTGATGGAGCAAGATGTTCAATATGCACTTTCAAAGAGAAGGACATCAGCTGAAACATCCCCCTCCTCAATACCATCACCGGCTAATTACATGTCAATTAGTCCAGGTTGTTAATAATCCCCCTTGTATATTTCTATTTTAATGTCTGTTATTTACTTTCTATTAATACTTATGTTCCCTTGGATACTATTACTATAACTACTACTTATAATGTTACTATTACCTTAATTCCTTTCTTTTTAATAACCTATCCTAACGATTAATAATAAAAACATTTCTTTAATAACAAAGAAAATAACCAAAAGCGACCTAAAGAGAGGAGGCTGTGTTCTGGAACCTATTTGTTCAAATTCAAAAATAGCTCCCAATTAAAGTTTAGCCTGCCTCATGAAAAAAAATAAAAAAAATAGAGAGCGAACGAACGAGCGAGTGAGGACAAAGAGAGCGAGAAAAAAAAAAAGGTCTGGACACTCATCATTTTTTAATACATATAAAATCTCCAGTTTCCTTTTTATTATCCTTTTCTTCTTTCTCTCTTTTTTTAAATGACAGAACATAAAGACAAACAAATATTAGAATTACCACTTGATTTGATATTAAACATTTCCAAATATTTAAGTTTTTCAGACCTTTGGTATTTATCGACTAGTTCACAACATTGTAAAAAGCTAGGACACCGGATTATATGGCATAAATATCATATTGATCTAAGTAAACCGCAGCTGAATGGATTTAGTCATTTAATCTATGGAGCCTTAGCATACTTGACACAACATTGCCATCCGACAATCGATTCAAGCATAGTTCAGAGTGTATCTAATCGATTGGCAGTTGAAATATATGATAGATCACCTCTTAAGAATTGGGAGCCCAGTCTAGACTTTTTGCTTGATAAAACGCTTGGAATTGTTGTAGATCATGTTTTCTTGGATGCAGAACTGGATACAATTCCTTATACAAAGGAGTTCCAGCCCACAAAAATGGGACAACTGATATCCCTGTTTCTCAACACACTCTATCCAACCTTGACTGCACTATTTGATGATACAGAATTAACCAGCAAAATACATCACAGAATTTTAATGAATCATATCAAACGACACTTGCATACTACTTCAACTCGATATCATCAGTTTATACGTAAAAAGTTCTTGTCCATTTCATCCACTCTCGTCTTTTCACTACGCACTCATTTTCGTATACTCGTACGTTTTATTGGAACACTCGTGCAAACAGATTTACTATCCGTTCAAGACTTGGATACCTTGATTAGACAGCAAATACACTACTTTTCATATCATAAAGACGACCATAAACGTAAAAGAGTCAAGCTAAATGGTAATAACAATAATAATGATCAGCAATTATTACAACTAGAAGAGATTGAATTTCAAATGGAAATCTTCTTGGATCTCACAAGAGCAGTATTTCTATTACAGCAGCATACGACAAATGACTTGAAGACTGTTTCGAATATGCTTCAATCTACTGTATCAACTCTCATTTCTACCAAAAAGTCCAACTATAGCACTTCTATTTAATTCCCCCTTTAATACATAATTATGCATATTTGTATGTGTGTGTGTTTGTACATCTATCTTTTTGTTCCATAGTTTGTAAATACTTTATGTAACTAATAAAAAATTGGGCCTGGATCTTTGCCCTTTAATTACGTAAGCCTTGCCTCATTTGAAAAAATAGACGGAGATCGATTTATTGATATTCAGCTTTCTGCCAATTTATAAATTCTTGATCACTTGTTTGTTCAACAAAAGCACTGTTTAACCAATCTCCATGTCTTCATACTACTTTAAATAAGGTTGAAATAAATTTTGATCATCACAAGGACATATTTGGTATATTGATAGTACTACCTTGCCTCACTAGAGGCCTTTAGTAAAATCAAAGCGTTTTTCCTGCATGCAGCAGGTAATATGGCATTTTAGCAGCCATCACAGCCATTATTAATTTCTTTTCTGGAGCGTATGATTAAGGCTAGAAGAAACAGTAAACAATACTGTTGCTTTAAAAAAGGAGCACCAGCGCAGTAGCTTAAAATACCGTTACGGCATAGACACTCATGAAAATACCCTTTGTTATCTGTATACTGAGATTGTTCATGTTTACGTGTTTTACTAGCAACTATGTCTATTATTGATATCAATAATAATCCTAATTCTCATTCCATTCACCCACAATATAATGGAGAAGTTATCATTCTCCGCTTTGCCAGTGAGGCAGACTATAAAGAATGGTTCAACATTAAAAGTGAACAAGCGACAAGACAAACCCCCCTTTTGAATGCACGTAGTCAAGTATTAACATGGTCGTGCCGAGGAACTTTTGAAAAAAAAAAAGAAAAAGAAAAAGAAAAAGCGATGATCTCATCAAGATAATGTCCATCAAGACTGATTACCCTACTTATTTCAATAAACATCTTCTGACTGATGGTACAGTAAGAGCCATATAAAGTAAATACATCTTGATCATAATCTTTGGGATATACAAAAAGATCATCTCATCCAGAATTGTTCCTGAGATGAAGTAATACGTTCAATCAGAACATGGACTGAACATTTATTAAGACCTTTATCATAATGGATAAAAATCATCTATTATAGGTAAGCGTTTATTTGTCTTAGAATAAGTCTGTTTATGCGACGGTCGTATATATCCCTATCCAGATAAGGTCTGGGAGAATCCCCCTTTCGGATCTGGTGTTGTTACTTGCTTTTGGGTTAGAGGAAAATGGAGTTTTTTTTTTTTTCATTATTTATAAGTTTATTCTGTATTGAAAGAAGTTACCTGAATGAATGAAATGCTGACCCATAGTTTTATAATCCAGTCCATCCAAACGCTGAACTTCTAAAGACACACATAAAAATAAAGGCGATTCCTATGTAACAAAAGGCTTGCATACCACTTTCTCAGCCTTTTCATCCCTCGTTTCTCCTTACTTTTCATAAGTTCTCTATTTGTTCGTTACCAGATCCAAAAAGTAGTTGACCACATTACTCAACTGGTATACGCTGGATCCATTTTTGCTAATTACCATTCCTTGGAACTTCTCGAGAACGGTGAAGAACTACCTGTGGTCACTCAGAATTTGTTCTACAACATATTCTCTATTTTTGCTGGCCAAGGAAAACACGCCTCTGGTAGTATCAAGAGCCTCAAGACCCTTTCGCGAGTCTATTTCTCTTACTCAGTCTGACTCAAAGCGAAGGGCGCACGCTGTCTTCAAGTGTGAACCTTGTACTGCGGTGTGGAATCGCGATGACAATGAAAGCCCTGTTCCTTCTTCAGAAGACCTTCAAAAGACGAACGGCGCTCCTGGATTTAATGCGCTGTCTATAACGGCAATGCATCGGTAAGTATAAGACGAATAGTACACTATTGCTTATTCATTAATCTTTTAGTTACTTTACACCAAAATATAAAAAAAAATAGTTTAGTCCTTTCAATCTGCTGAATAGAAGAAAGCTGTTTGTAGGAGAAGCAAGCTTATACATATGAGCCAATGAGGGCAGAACCAAAAAAGTATATCTTTTAGTGACAGTGCACACTTGGCTTATTGTGATCCATTATCAATTGGATTGAACTAACAATATTCACTTGTTAATCCTCTTATGTATTTTAATTTAGGCCTATAAGAGTACATCTTCTTTTCGGGTCAAGATGCATAATGGTCCATTTATTTATATTAGTCGGAAAGATAAAGTGGTTTTTTCTAGGATGTTCATCCATGACTCAGACCTGCACGTAATACGTAATAAACGATGATTGGGCGCATGGTTCACATGATAGAATAAGAAAAGGATCAATAGACAATGGATCCAATGAGACCTCTTACCATTGTCTTTCCTACTTTATTCTCATTTCGGATTGGAGACAATGTCACATGCAAAAAAGATAAAAGACATGGACTAACTAAGAGAGACAATGAGAGAGAGAGAAGGAGAGAAAATGGCGTGTTTTCTATTTCTTTCCATTAGTCTGTCTGTGCCTGAAATAATCAACTCAAAAAATGGGTAATAAAAACATAAAAAAAGAGAAGACATCTTTAACCTCAAAACACTATTGAAGCCATGCCTGTTCAAACAATATCAAAGACACCAGAAGATACATTTCATTCTTTTCCTTATTTAACAGATGATTCTCCTTTAGTGCCCAGTGGTTTAATCGTATCTGGTTATGATTTTAAGATTAAAGAAGTAAGGAATCATATTCACATTCAAGTTTTACTCATTCTATATCATAGCCGCCAACAGATAGACCTGTACGCATATATTGTGATGGTATTTATGATCTATTTCATTTTGGACATGCAAAGGCATTAGAACAAGCCAAGAAGGCATTCCCTGATGTGTATCTTATGGTGGGCGGTAAGAAATAAACAACACTATAAACATTAAGACTTATTTTGCAAAAGTATGTAATGATGCCGAAACACATAAACGTAAAGGTAAAACAGTAATGAATGAAAAAGAAAGATATGAATCAGTCGCACATTGCAAATGGGTTGACCAGGTCATCCCTGATGCACCATGGATAGTCACCCAAGAGTTCCTCGACAAATACCAGATAGATTATGTAGCACATGATGCAGAACCCTATCAATCTACAGAATCCGATGATGTGTATGCATTTGTAAAGGCGCAAGGCAGATTTTTACCAACACAGCGTACAGGTGGTATCTCTACCTCAGATCTCATCACTCGCATCGTACGTGATTATGATGCTTATCTTCGTAGAAACCTTGAAAGAGGTGTCAGTGCAAAAGAATTGAATATTTCCTTTCTAAAAGAAAAGGAAATAAAGACAAAAAAGCACCTAGATGATCTTAAAAGACAGTTCAAAACTGCTGTCTTGGAACAATTGGGCACTTGGGAAGATCAGAGTCATGAACTCATCCGTACCTTTGCTGGCAAATTTGGTGCAAAAGATGTCGTCGTAAGTCATGTATTTTTACGTCCAATATGTATCTTATACGTTTTTAGGAAAAATTCTTAAATAAGCGTCGTCTACTACCAAGTAGAAAGAGACCAAGAAGTGATTCAGACTCTTCTTAAATAAAAGCTTTATTTAAGCAGCCCAAACTTTGCTAAGGAATTCAGTGAGTCCAATGTCATTTGTGTTGAATTGATAACAAGCAATAAGAACACCGGTTGTACTGGCCCATAAAGTACCCGTCATCAACTTGTTCAAAATGACACTCTTACGGGCATTGAAATAATCTAGAATAAAACACCTTGTCAGTTACCCCATTTTTACCCCGCATGATGTTTTTCTCGCTCTAAAGTGTGTCTATCTATATTTACCAGTAATACAGGCATCAAATCCTACACAGAATAACAAAGATGATTAGCCTCTTCATCATCAATTACACATGTTAATCTTTACCAATATGAAGGTGAAGAGGAAGAACAACACCCAAGAGAGTGTCAGTAACAGGTGATGCACCATAAGTGAGTTGTGTTGCAATCAAAGGAACTAAAGCAACTGAAGCAGCACGTTCAATGTTCCAGTGGTAGGAACCATGAAGACGGTCTGGTTTGTGAGTCGCATTCGTGGCAGCCACGTTAGATTGAGAAACAGCTATTATATAGTGAATTGAGTAATATGACTAATGGATCAAAAACAAGGCCTTACAAGAATGGATCTTGACAAGACCCATGGGCTGTTGTCGAACTAAAAGACGAGTCGTGTTGCGAAGACCAGGTGCTGCTAAAAGACGAAGAGACATGGTTCCTGTTTGAAGAATTATTGCAAGTAGAAAGGGATGAGGGGAAAAAATAACCCTTGATTTAAAAATCAGTTACTATTTTTATTTGCTTATTCGGGTACACTCGCTCCCACTGCTTTGATGACGCAGTTACAAACATAGAAATCACATGATTGAATATTCTTCCCATATATATTCACTAGGCTTTAGTCTTTTCTTTATGCTCGAATGAAATGACCGAGTTACGATTGATCGCTTTATGAAAGTCCTGCCATAGCTGTGCAGATTCATAGACTTGCTTTCCAAGAGAATGAACTGTTTGTAAATTACGATCAACATCTTCAAATTGTGAATGAAGATCTTCTAATCCTTTTGCTGCATCTTTTAATAACTTGGATAATTGTCTTTCAAAGTCTGATTCATTTTCCATTTGCTTTTTTTTTGCCTTCTTTATACACAGCAAACAAGTCTAAAAAAAATGAAAAAGGAAAAAGGGGGAAAAGAAAAAATATTAAAGACTACTTTTCTTTCCTACGTTTATTATTAATCTTTCCTTGGTTTCCATATAGAAATGATTCATCAGCCAGTTTTCTAAAAGAAAGACATTGTTAGCTAAATTATGGATAATCTATGCTATTTTACCTTGGTCGAAGATAATGACGAAGAGTAAAAAGTATACCCAAGAGGAGAATGATCCCCCCGACTGTCATATAAATGATTCCTAAAAATGGGTTCTTGCCGCCTAATGGTGAGGTAGTTGATATCACTAACCATTTAGTTCCTCCATAAGGAGTTGTATCAAAATCTATTGAATGTCTATTTTAGCTGCTTATTTTATAAATAATATAGTGAATTTTTGTTTTATATATACTCAAGTCTATTTGTATTCGCCAGCGATCACTCGCTAAGCTTTCTCGATCATTCCTTGCCCAAAGCTTTCTGAAATCAGGTAGAGCTGCCACATGCATCCATATCATCAATCGTTCCATGTTGGATAAATCAGGAGGTGGGTAATCTTGGGTATATGTGCCATTAGGGTATCGATTAGCCCAGTTGATGGGTGGAACAATGGAAGATATTGAATAAGTCGTAGGATGATATTTTTGCTTGTCGCTGGGCCAAGCAATGTTTGTTCTTTGAAACCTGTAGAATATAGATGGCTGTGTGACTGACTGAAGATCAGATGCTGTATCTGATGATATGGTCAGTCAAACAAAAAGGGGGAAATGGGCTATCTACTTCTATTTACCATTAAACATCGAATTAGCTATTAGACCGCAAGGATAATAGATCAAGTTGTTTTCATTTATTGCCAACGGTCCACAATTTGAGTTTAGAGTAGCTGGGTCGACGATTTGTCCTGCTAGTTGTCCTGGGTCATAGCTCTTTATATATTGTCGACGGTTTTGATTGAAGTTGGTGAGCCTATAAAACATGAATATGGGGCCTTGCATAGTTTCAGGTACAGTAAAATCAATCGTACACCGCTTGATTGTCAAATTATTAGGGTTTCCCCAAGTTGTATCTAAAAATTGAGTGACATTTTCGTAATAAAAAGCAGGTGCCTCCCCCACATGATCCTGGCTGAACCGTGATTTATAAAGGCTTGGATGCAGATAAATAGGCTGTGTATATTTATCACAAAATGTATAATTAATCATAATCTCATTCACCTTTGATCAATATAGTTTCAGTATCTTTTTTTCTTTCTTCTTTAATAGTAGTAATAATAATAATACCTTTGTGCTTGACCAATACAGCAGTCCTCCAATAGGCAAAAAAAGGACGCCTACGATAAAAAATGTTGGCAAGACTGATTTAGGTGTCAATACTGGTTGCCAAGCGGGTAATTGCTGTTGTCTGAATGCACCGTCTTTAAGAAATGAGTGTCAAGCAGAGCTTAAACCCTTATTGTATGTGTTCATTACCAACTGGTTTTCTAGATTTCTTTGTTAATGACATACAAGACCAAGGAAAAGAAAAGAGAAAAAGAATTACACAATGACGAAATGTTGGCCAATCATGATTTAATGCGCTGATCGCCTCCTCTTTCCTAATCCATCATCCCTTTCCTTTTTTTACACACGTTAAAATGTTTCTTGCATGTTTATTAAGAAATGAAGATCTTCTTCAATATCACTTGACCAATACTCTGCTTCACTATCTTCCTTGTCGTCTCTTGGTCTCTTTTGTCCATGAGTCACTGGCTGGCTTGGCTGTGGTTCAGTATCGATGACGATCGATTCACTAGGTACGTCATCCATCACTTCTATCTCATCCCAGTCCTCTTCAGCCTTAATCTCTGCACTAGCCGACAGCTGTAGTCCTTCCAAGGTTGATTCTATCTTGTTGTTTATTTCTTCCCCTTCTGTCTTGAATAACACCATCTCTTGTTCATCTGGATCTCCTAGCCCATCCTCCTTTGATGATGTCAACATGTATATACTTATCGGACTTTTTCTTTATATTACCTTTATACAGAACTGAACCGGTATCTGTTGACTACTCTCAGGTGCCTTGAATAGATACCCGAATCTGAATTGTCGCTTACGGTATAAGTATAATCGATTATGACACCAGTGACCCCATGATGGACCTAGTGACGGTGTCCATCTTCCATCGATACCATTGATTGTAACATGATTCGTAACAACAATCTATCAAAGAAAGAGACAGAATCAGTTCCACAATCTCTTTGTATAAGTGTTTAATATACTTGCTGCTAGTTTATTCTTGGTGGCTATTTGAACTAGTGAATGGCCAATATAATTTACAAAATGAGTTCTTTTTTTAGAATCCATAGTGTTTAGTCTGAAAGGATATGCAATAGAGTCAATGATAATTAATTTTACATTAGTGTATTCCTTTAATATGCTGGGTAACTGTCGAGCAAGCGCGATAAGTTCAATATGATTCAATACACGAAATAGATGAATGCCCTTTGATACTGATTCAATATCATATTTTCTAGCCATATCGATCAATCTTGATGTCAAGAATGAACCTTCTGTATCGATATAGATGCATTCACCCTGAACGCCGCCTTCTTCAGGCTTTAATTGTACGTTGACAGCTAGTTGCATGCTAGTATCGAATTAGTCTCTTTTTCTTTTAAATGCATAAATATCATTTACCAGACTTGAGTTTTACCCGAACCTGATTCACCGCTTATTTCTGTTATTTTATATGCAGGAACCCCTCCGTCAAGTAGTCTGTTTATATTATTTGATGATATACTGATGCCTTGTTCTTCGGCTTGTGCTATACGATCAGCCATTGTTTGTTTATGTGGTTTTGCATCTAGATCGATCAATATGTGTGTATGTCATTACTTGATTTATGTTGTACCTTTGCTTGTTATTGAGATCAACTCTTCTACTTCTTCTTTAGTTAATTGTAAATCTATCATAGATTGTCAACATGCTTTCCTTCATGTTCATTCAATTTTAGTACCTTTTGAAAGTTGAATCAGGTTAGCTTCTTTTATTTCTTCAATTGTTTCAAATCCAAAATTGTCTAGCTTTTGTTTTAATGAAGGAGAGGAAATGAACTGACTGAGGGACATGGTGTATTTTAAGAACAGAGAGAGAAAAAAAGAGTATTTTTTACTGAATTGATATAAAATCTTGTTTGCATAAAGGAAGAGATAATCAATGACTATATTTTGATGAAGCTAAGGAAATAAGCCATAACCAGACTAGCCATCAGCTTATGATCCATATTTCTTATTTAATTCCATCTCGTTGATCAGAACGTTTTAACAACTGGAAACTTTCAATTTGCAAAAAAGAGTTTTTCAGCCAGAGATCAGCTTGTTGCTAAAAACCAATACACATCAAACACAACAGCAACTTGCACCCGACAAGACCAGTACTGTTATCTCCTCAGCTGGTACCTTGTTCGCTGACAGCAATTGGGCTAACTCCAAGACCATTCTTCAGTTCCGTAAGAAGATGTGTCAGATATAGAAGTACTGCAAGTTACTAAAGGTTTAGAAGAAGGAAATATAGAATAAGAAGAGCCTATCTTTTAGTAGTGAAGATACATAAGGAAGTCTTTTTTGTATCCAATAGGTCGCCAACATATTTTAGATGAAGAACTGCTATGCAAGAAATACGTTCCGTCAATGGAAAGAATTCGATGACTGCAGGTTTGTATAGCATAGACTGATGTTAATATATGGCATCTCACTAATGAGAACTACCTATGTGAAGTTATATAATGATAATTACTCCAAACTGCTTCATAATGATGCACATGAAGAAATCACTAAACTGTTGTTTCCTTGGTTACCAGAGACAAAGAAAAGTGCGTCAAATGAATATATTTCATTAAAATTAAAGAACAAAAAGTCAAAGTGTGGGAGTAACAACATGAAAGTTTTTATTTAAGTAAATAATAGTTTGATTTCCAAAGAGAGAGAGCTTTGAATAAGTAGAGATTAATTTTTCTTTCCATAAGTCCAGAAGGCCACATTATCGTTAGCTTTCAAACCCAAGATGACCAGAGTCATAGACTGCATGCCAGAAGACTACAAGGTGTAAACCCTCCATGAGTAAAAAGCACTCAGGACTCAAATCTCAAAAATCAAAAACTAATCTCAGAGCCATACCACGGTAAATTCAACGAAAGAGGTGCTTCAAAGTACAAAGAGTGCACTTCTAAGTACCTAGGACGAAGCGTTTCGAAAGGGATGATGACCGTGGAGACATCGGAATATTGAACCTTTGGAGCATCGCGACCATCGAGCTCAGCAGCAAGGGAGGGTTTACGGGCCATTCATCAGCTGTAGAGGCAGAACCATAACAATAGGAGCATCTCGGAGTGGTTCAGCGTAGAGGAGCAGCGGTCTATAGCAGAGCTTGATAGAGTTTGGCAGATAGTGGCAAAGTAGTTTGAACATGTAATTATCCCAGAGCAGTATTCATTAGCAGTAGACATTGATAGACCTGAGCAAAATTTTTTAGGGACTTTCCGATGTTGATAAGCATTGGACAGGCATTCACTAGCATTTTCAGGCACTGACGATCACTTATAGATATTGATAAGCATTTGAGCATTCGTTTGAATATTGATTATTTGAATGTTTGAGTGTATTGACAAGCAGTAGCAACTATGAGTAGAAATTTTGAGTATTAGCGAGTAACGGAGATTTTTTGACGGCCTCACCCCGTGAGAGGCCATTATTATAGAGTAAGATGCATCAGGAGCCATGAAATAGAGCCATCAAAAGTGTATTTTCTAAACGATGGCATTAGTTGCATATACGTTGAGATTACCCAAACGCTGTTGTACCTTTTTCAACATAGGGAATAATAAAATCATGGGATAAATTTTAAAAGAGATAAAGAATGAAGAAAAAAAAAAAAGGAAAAGAATGGTGGTCTCTTTTATAGTTTTTGTTTACGTGAATCATGTTATTTAGACTGAAAACAAATGATTCATTTTCTATCTTATCTATATTAGAGCATATCCGAACGATGCCTTTTTTTAGTTTTTTAGTTTAGAATGTGGAATATTCTCTTCTGTCCTCTTTTTTTTTTTTGTTTGTTTACTTTGCATAATTTCATGTCCCCTTCTTTTTTCTGATCCCGCTTGTTTTCTTAAAGTTGACTTCACATACACATGATTTTTGTTATGATTGCTTCACTTTTCTTATTTTCAATATGCGTTCTTTTATTTTTCTTGTTGTTTTCTTTGAGAAATGAGTAAAAAAGAAAGGTGAGCATCAAGCGTAGAAGGAAAAGGGTTTGAGAGAGGGTAGCATCTTTAAAAATTCAGCTGATAGTAAACAAAAAAAAAAAAAAGCTTTTCTCAAAGAGTACCAGGCTGCCGATTATGTGGAACATGCGTAATAACTATTAATTTTCCATCAAAAGGGTCTAGTAAACAAGTGAAATTAATTATGATTAAGTTATTTGGTTAAACACGATGGATTATGTCTACTATTACCTTCTTTCTTCACAGCATTAAAGATAGCTTTTGCACCATCCTTTGTTTGTTTATCATCATATCTTTTAGTATTTAATTTTAAGTAGTGCGTTTAAGAAATAGAGGCAGAGAAAGTGGTTATGCTGCGATAGTCATATATAGATCAACATAATCTTTAAAGAAACAGAAAGAATTCATAAAAATACTAAATAATAGAGTTATTATTTATGATGGAAGCCATAGAAGAGCCAAAATCAAAGCAGCTTAACCCTCATGTATGAAAAACCTTTTACCGAGCATGAAACAGGTAATTCAATTGTTGGCTTGCGCATGAAAAGGTAAATTTTTTACCCTCTTTCTCTTATTGCTATATCTTTGTCATCTTCCTTTCTACTTCTGAAATGTAAACTAACATTATCAGCTATTGTGGTTTCAAAAGATTTAATGATTAAATGTTCATTTTATAGTAAAGCAATGGCACTTTTAAAAAAGAAAAAAAATAAAGTCTGCATAAACCATTTCAAATGGCGCTCGAAACAGAATGCACTGCTAAGGTACACGACATACTTTAGGTAATCTCCTTATTGTCGTGAATACTCGCGTATCATGAATGAGAGGTGTTATCAAATATGTGATTTATTGAGCGATGAGAAAGAGTTTTATAACAGTGAAAAAAGGATATGAATACATGAATATCAAAAGGATAAAAATAAGCCTTATACAGAGATAAAATAATAGAAGAATAACTCAATAAGCCTTAGATAGAGGACACTGTGATGGTAGAGCAGTTTACCGTTTTAATAACGAATGTTGTCATTTAGTTGATCAAACATAGTCTTTACTTTGTCGACCTCTATGGTTAATATTTCCAAGAATACTTTACCTGTAAACACTACAGTGCATGCATTTGATATTCGCTTTATTCATGATCAAGAAAAATGTTGGTTCATTTCATGAAAGGGAAAAGGTATTTTAATCAAAAGCTCAATCTCACTTGCTTTATTTATTTTTAGCTGAAAACCTTTTTCTGATTTGTCGACGAAATAAGCTCGACTTCATTTGCCGTCTTGGGTTAAAGCTATTTGCAATTTGGCTAAAACATCCTATGGGTACCCATACTTAACCGTACTAGGAGTTGATGTCTTGGCTGGCATCACAGTGGTAAACTCAACTATCCACAAGTGGGCGACCATCATCTTACACATACAGCCGCCTAAGTCTTCCTTTTCTATTGGTGATCCGTTTTCTTTTTACCTGAACAAGCTCTCACATAGTCTCCAAAGTTTTCAGCGTCCGTAGTTAGATGAAAGCAATGGCAAATAGTCATATCATGAAAATCAAAGGGGCCTGCTCGGAAAAAAAGTTGGCCTACATTGTCAGAACCTTGAATACCTTAACGACACACTACACATCGAACCGCTTCTTCAAGACATTGATCAGGCTCTTTCACCCTTTTTCTCTCGTCTTCACAACGATTCATATAATTCAGGCGCTCAATTTGATAATACTCATTCCCTCCACTCAGTTTTTCGAGGCTTATTGAACAAACGGACTTCGCGTCCATAGACTTTCCTCATGTAAAACTTGCTTTTTTCTTCTTCCATAAATTGTAGTCGGTAAATACAATAATACCACGTACGGTAATTACATGTCGTTAACAAAAGGACGCCTCAGAGATATCACATTGAGGGTATAGTCAACTAGGATTAATTTTCACTGTATTACGGTCAGTCAAATATAGAGACTAGAAAGAAGCTGAAGCTTGCTGTTGTTTAATTTCATCAATAGAAAGTAAACATTTTTGATTTATTAATACCAATTAACTTTTGTACATTGTGATTGGGCTTATTTACGAGCACTTGCTCTCTTCTTCGTCTTGGAAGATTGCTGTTTATTCAAGTTGCGATGATGTTCAGGGATCCAAGACTCGTCCAAAACCATTTCACCTTTTTCGTCACGATGGGTAGGACGTTCATTGCTTTCTTCGACTTTCTTTGTCTACACGCGTATTTTCAGTTTTTCTCTCTCTCTCTCCCTATTTATTCTTTTTCTTTTACCTTTTTAACTTTCTTAACGTCACCAAAGAAGGCTTCACGAATAACATAAGCAACACCAGCAGCACCAGCAGCAAGAATGAAGTACATGAAGATACTATAATATAATTCATTCATCTCGTCCGATACTAATTACAAAACTACTTACAGTTGAAGATCGAACCATGAACCTTCTGGATCAGTGATGGTGATTGTACCATTATATCCAACAACACGAGCAATAGAATTCTATAAATACATTTAGATCCTCTTTCTCTTGTTCTTTCCATAATCATACCTCAGATAATAAATCAACATAGACAGTTAAACCATGTTCACCAGGAGCATACTCAGAGTAAAAGTGATAGGGAAGTTGAAGAGATGATCCAGCAGAAAGGATTTGGCCATAACGAGTAGCAGTCAACTGTGGTTGTATTAATTACTCTGGCCCTTTTTTCTTTTCTTCATAGACTATACTTACATTACGAATTACTTTGGAGAAATCATCAACCTTGGAAACTTGACCAGAAATAGCAAACACGGTATAAGGTGTCTTTTCCTTGTTTTGAATGTCCAAAATGACTTTATTACGTTGTCCATTCACGATAACTAGTTGTTTTCTTTTAGTCTTTTTTTTTTCTCTTGTCAATACAGCATATACTTACGACCAAAGGGATTATCAGGAAACTCTGCAGTGACATCGACATGAGCCTGTGCTTCTTCTTGTGCAATCACTATAAAGTAGCATTACATCAACAGTAACTAAATCCGTGTTTTGCTCTTTTTACCAAGATTAAAAACGAATAGTAAACCAAGGATTAGCAAACTAGAGTACTTTGTCATCATCATCTTTTTTCAAACAAAAGAGAGAGGAAAGTGGTAAGGGTTGATTGGATAAATTTATTTGCCTTTTTTTCAATGTCAGATTCGATCTTTTCTAAGTAACGACAAATGCGTCTGTGTAGTGCGCCTAACGTTGGCCAACTTTTCTCCTTCGTTGATGGATTCACTATAGCGCAAGTTTCGTTCGTCCATGTCATTAGCGCTTTGGATGTTACCAATCGTGTTAGACAAGGCGGAATTCTCATCTGTAACAGGAGTTATATTCAGTCTTGAACGTTCTGTAAAAAATACTTAAATAAGTAATTGACAAGGAAAATATGTTTATAACGCTTAAAGGGACCATAGCATGAGCAACGATAAAGATAACCATTTTGAACTTCAATGTCATAATATATATCATGTGTAAAGGATATACACTGAAACAGACTATCTTCAAACTTCTCTAGCATACCACAAGCAGTGTCATAATCAAGGATATCAGCAGTCTTCTTCTTTTGCTCTTCTACAGTTAATTTTACAGCTTTAAATCTGAATTTGGAACCACAGCTCATTGATATCCACAGCGTGATGGTAGTACTGTATATTTTGAAGAATAATGAAGTTGAATTTCTTTATCAGGATGTACAAACACTATTTTGCTATAAATAAATACGATTTCTTTCCACTCTTTTTCTCTTTTCTTCTCCATATTTATAATAACATAGAACTACTGAAGACATTGCATAAAATGTCCAAAAGCCTTGATTTCATAGTAGCCGGCTTTGTCATTCATCTTCTAAATGAATGCTAACTTGTATATATAATAGATATGCCACGTTTAAAAAAAGAACAGGATAGCTACTATGATGGATCAAAACTGACTAGAGCTCCTACTATTGTAGCATCTGGTAAAAGGCAGCAATAAAGTAATGACCAGGATCATCGTAAGCGATCAAGAAGTGGATATACCTTGCCAGAACTTCTATGGAAATCATTTAATGAATCCATGAGCCATCATCTTATTCTGAAGGTTATCCCTTGTGCTGATAACATAGCATCTTTGGAAAGATTTAAGCCAAAGCTGTTAAATGCTAAGGTGCTACCAAGATCAGTAATGATGAATGCTGAAAAAACTGCAAAATGTGCTCCAGGGGAAATAAGAGAATACTTGAAAAAAAAAAGCTTACCAAAAAGGAATGTAAGTCCTTTCACAGCAGCACGCGGTTCGTGACACTCTTAGAAAATTTTATTACTCTAGCAAAAGGTTAAAGAAGAGAGAACGAAGCAGATTCAACAAAATGGGTTTACATTAAAGTTTTGTACTTCAGAACGACGATTCATAGTTGAGCAAAATGTTAACAATGCAATATTAAAATCCACAAGAATCTAATCAAAATTTTAGATTAATAATCGAAAACAAAGCCAGTAATGCTCATAGGTGATAAAGAAACAGGTGCTGGTTCAAGAATAGAGGGCTTTCATAGATATGGTGGAAAATGGAAACAAATGATTCAGGGAAAGTACACAAACGTGTGCATAACTGACGAATATATGACCCCACAAACTTGCCTGTATTGCTTTTCAAAGCTCAGCCATCCTATACAAAGAAAAACGGAAAAAGAAAGACAAATCAGTTTCAAGAGCAAAGGTTCACTTTTATGTAGAAATCCAAACTGCGTCATAGTCAAGAACAACAAAACATCCAAATCAAGAAATTCTCTTTCTGCTTTAGCAATTGGCATTTCTGGATTGTGCAAACTCTTCCTATATTCTCGACTAGCATCAGTTATGCCAATACTGATTTTATTTCTATTTCCTCTTCCTTGCTTAACACAAGAGAATGACAGGGCCATTGCGATGCAAATACTCGGTAAGGATTAAACCTTGAACTCATGACTGTTTTTTTTGGTTGGGTTTTTAGAATTTTCGATCTTTTCCACCTCTGACCATAGACTTGGACAGTTTGATCCAAGTTTGAGGAGAGGGTTACTTTTCCCTTTTTTATATCAAGTATTCGAGCAATAGATGACAATGAAATGGACACTTACTCTTATTTATGCTCCTATTTTAATGTTGCTCCCTCTTCGCCCTATCTCACTTGTTCTCTTTCTCTCTTTAGTCATCATATAATAAAAACAAAGAAATGCCTCGTCTTAAACAAGAGTGTATATTATATAGTTGCTTATGCATGAATGGTAAATATGTCATCTTTTTTTTTATAGATATATTTTATGAATATACATGCTGATTATACAAATTGTCTACGTGAATAAAATCAACCTATCCTAAAGCTGCAAACTGTAGTAAAGGCTCTTCTAAATGACTCTTTATAGCTTCTCCTTTAGCTTTTAATATCCCTAAATCATTTATAGCCTTGCTATTGCCAACTAAACATAGTATCATTGGTCCAACATTTGTGATATATATTACACCTTCTTCACAGTGAAGTATTTGGTATTTAAGTTCGGTATATACATTCTTCTTCTTATACGTATTCCAGATATTGGCAGATATGGCTGCATATATCGTGGCTTCCTTGTCTGTATCAGCTGCAAAGGCGATTAAAGAACCTTCACTTGTCATGATCCTTTTTTTAAAAAACTTTCTTAATTTTCTTGATGCATTACAATATGTTTTACTTACATTGCTGCTTTGACTACATCATTTAGCGTCTGTCTTAGCGCTTGTGAAATTACCTTTGGCTTTAACATGGCCAAGGAAGAGAAAAAAAAAAGGAAAGAGACTGAAATTAGCAGGCTATAAAAGCATTTTAAACTCAGGATATCCAATGGCCACGCAATAGAAAAATGCATAGGCTTTATTTTACAATTCTAATCACAAAGCCTCTTTCGTATTGATATAAAAAAAGTACCTACCAGTTTCAACATGATGAATATTGTGAAAGACGTTGTTTATGAGAGCATTAGGAGCCGTTTTCTGCATTAGTCAAAGACGCTATCCTCTAATCTATGCGACAGTTGATCGGCTGAGCTTCAATGTTAACGAAAAATGCCTATTGTTTTTCCATTTCCTCAAGCATTCAAACTTCGTTTCTCTTCATTTAAAAGGAAAGAGACTGAAGTTTAGAAATTGCTAGTAGTGGCGCTTACTTAAGCTATTCCAGAATCTTTTGACTGAATAAGATAAATATGACGTTAGCGTTCTCTTTTTGAATCAGAATAGAATAAAATACGTACAAGTGCAAAAGGCCAAAGCAACTGGCTATTTAACAGTGCTGGTTAAAGCACCCTCCCAGATGCAGCATTCCTTGATTCAGTTACAGTTATTATTAACATAATCCGCAAGAATCAATCGAACGCTCAATGCTGTGTTGACGTCTCGGTTCCAGACCTATCATTGGATGGAGTTGACAGTATTAAAATAGAATAATCAGTATTTAACTAGTTGTAACTAAGCAAAAGTAACTTACCAAGTTTCCATCATAAGCATCATCAGATGAACCCTGCCTACAAAGCTTCAACGGATATACAATGAAGACATACCCTATTTTGTAAATGATTAGGTTAGAACATAAACTTTAAACATTCGAAGTTTGGCAGATATATATATTTGCGTTTTATCGGGACAGGAACTGGATCGATTAATAATGCGATTCTCATCATTTACCCACCATTTAACAGGTTTTTTCTCTGAGCTCTGTCTAACCATCTTTTTTCTAAGACTTAAATAGAGGTCAATATCTTGTACAGCTATGTATATAAATAATATTTACATATGATTGCAGTCAAATCCTCTTTCAGACACAGCAATATCCTCTAAATCGTTTTTGCAATGGCTGCAAACTCTTGACGTCCTGTATTCACCAACTAATATTACTATCCCTTTTTTTTTTTTAATAAATGTTTGCGTAATTTCTGTTGCTTGTATTAGATATAATTGCATGTTTTTGTAAATTCATTTTACTTTGGAGGGCGTAGGAGTAAATGAACGCATAGAGCTTGGAAGGCTTGCGTCGCCATATGCAAAAATGACTCTTCTATGGTATTGACCTTAAAATCCAGCATTCCTACGATATAGCTGCCTCTCTTTCTTTCGTCTTCTGCTTGTGCTCGAGTGGCATAGACGGTATGGCTCGTTTCGTAAGGTTCTTTGGCATAAAGCATTCGTAATATGACCTAATGTTTGTTGTCTATTGCTATATAAATATCCTTTCCTTTCGCGATAATCAAACCCTTTCATGAAAGAAAAAAAAAATACTAATGATAATAATAGCTCAAATAAGAATATTATGAACATAATGAGCGAATGTGAATACAAATTAAGCGCGTTTCATTTATTACCATTGTCTGGATTTTTTTTGACAATGTCAAAAATATCAAAACAGCCTCTTACACATCCAGCGAAGCCCTACAAAAAATGCACATTCAGTCAATTCTATTAATAACATTACGACGGAAAATCTATAGACTAAATGTTATAGAACGCAGGACATGTCCTTCACCACAGGCGACGGCGCGATAATAATGACTTCAAAATTTCTCAGACATTACATCTGGATATGGTGTATCCTCTTGAAACCCATTTTCTACCCAGAAACATACGCAGTACAATGCTAGATTCATGGCATCCCGTCTTTTACGGACCTCTTGCTACTGAATTACTTGTTGCATAAAACTCTAAGCTTAAAAAAAGAAATAAAAGGGAAAGAATAAAGTAATTTATTTTGTGCAGACATTCATTTTTATTTCTTTGTTCTTTTAGGTTCTCATTATTGTATTCTTTGTTCTTTTTTAAGGAGCTTACTATGTTTTATAGTGACACGGCAAAATTTTGTACTATTGCAATTTCTTTGTTCAAATGTATAGTTTATCCTGAGTCACGTCGCAAGTAGTTTGTATATAAAAAGAGTACATAAAGTAGGTACAGTAGCAATTTCCTATAAAGCGTTTCTAAAAACATATACTCAAGAGTAAATATTCTTAAGCTTATTATATTCGCTTGATTCAAGAGAGTGCACATCATGATATCAACGACTTCATCCAATCCATGACGATATGGTTGCCTCTTGGAACAACAGGGCGACACCCAAACGGGAATTGAGCAGGATCCCTTCTTCAGTTAAACAAAGTCAAGTATAGGAAACGCATCAGATATACTTTTAGAAAACTACTACGTTTGTGATAGAACAGAAAAACCTAATCTAGAAATAGAAAAGACTTTTAGAAAAAAACAAACAAACAAATACAGTGCTATTTCTATTGCCACAACATCTTTGAAGGGGCTCAAGCTTTCCGTGCTGAGGAGAATGATTATGAAAGCGTGAGTGAAGACGTTAAGCAATGGTTTTAAATCTATTTTTTCAAAGCTGTAAGCGACTGCTATGAAAGACAACTAGTTTAAATCTCGTAAGACTATACATATCTACCAAGATAAAGAGTATAAAATACAGCATACTATATGTCTTATTCGTAATGTACTTACTTACAGTCTATCATAGTAATCTCTGCTTATGTGAATCCACCACATGTGTTGTGATTTCTAGTATAAGTTTTCAATTAGTCTTAACATTCGAAAGCCTCCTTCAATACTCATTTGAATAATCCTCATGAGTTAACGGCTGGATAAATGGAGCCTTTCTAATCTTTTCGTCGAAATTTGAATGGCCTGTTGATTTCTATTTCCGAACAGTCCAGCTCATTTAACTTCAGTCTCTCTCTCACTTCCTTTTTTCTATTTTCGCACCATGTCAGCCCAAGAACAGCCAACAATGGATTCTCCAAAGACGAAGTCTGACGATAAGAAAAAGAAGAAAGAAAGAATAAAAAAAAAGCCCAAGAGACATTCACGTAAACCTACTTTGAAGACAAAGGTTGTCGTTCGAAGACTTCCACCTTTACTACAAGAAGATGTTCTTATGGAAGCAGTAAAGCCCTGGATTAACGAGCAAACAACAGATTATTCCTTCTTTGTTCCAGGAAAGATTCCAAAATCGTAAGTTAATTTTTCATTTATCAAAGAAAAAAAAAAAAACTAAAAACTTTATCATTAGTAAAGGGAAGGAAAACATATTCTCTCGAGCCTACTTTCACTTGAAGACAATGGAAGCAGTGATTGCTTTCCATCAAGGATTTGACGGACGTCCATTCACAGATAGCCGTGGTAAGTATATATAAAAAAACATGTATAGCAGTATAATTTATACGCTTTGAACGTTAGGAAATGAAAGCAGAGCTGTAGTAGAGTTTGCTCCATATCAAAAGATTCCAAAGGAGCACAAGACGACAGATACTCGCCAGGGCACTATTGATGAGGATCCAGACTATGTAGAGTTCTTGAATTTCTTGGAAGCGGAAAAGAACAAGAGTAAAGAAGCACAAGATGATGCAAACGATGGACTTAATCCTATAGAAAAACTCGAAAATAGGATTGCTATGGTTACAGGTATGGGATTTGGCGGTAGTGGGTTATTCTAGTGCATTAATCCTAATAATAACTTTAGCCAAAACACTTGCTGCTGAACAGGCAAATAAGCCTAAAACAACACCTCTATTGGAACATCTTCGAGCTCAAAAGGCTGCACAGGCTGCTGCAAAAGCCAAAAAAGCTGCGAAAAAGAATGCCAGAAGAAAAGCAGAAAAAGAAAAAAATGCCGAACAACAACAACAGCAGCAACAGCAACAGCCATCTGCATCAGAAAGTAAGAAACCAAAGAGAGATCGTAATAAGAGGAAAAAGGAAGGAGAACGTAAAGAGGGAGACCGTGGAGAGCCCAGTCCCTCAGCTAGCAACCGAGGATCAGACTCACCCAACAGAAAAGATAAACCAAGAGGGCCCAGGAAGGACAATCCAAATAAACCTAAAAGAACAAAAAAAGTGGATGGGAAGCAACCACAAGTAGTGAAAATTTTAGGGAGACAGCAACAGCCATCATCTGAAACCAATAGTCAACAGACAACTAACGGATAAAAGCTACAATCTTTTGTTCATCATCTGATTTGTGGGTAATCCTTACGATTGCTTCGTTTGTAAGACAAGCGGACTAGAGAAAAAAAAGGAAGGGGCTTTTTTATCCTTGGTTTGTATATTCAGTGATTAGAGACCTTTAGGAAGTATTCCCATTATAACTCAAATAAAATCCCCCAATTACTCAAATGAGCTTATTGTCTTTTCTTATGTTCAGGTATCAAAAGAGAAGATTGTTTGTAATAAGGATTTTAAACGAACAGTACCTTGAATAGAAAACACGTAAAGTAATAAGCAATGCTAAAATCCAGCATTCTCTGTTGTTGAAAGAATTTCTTTACAAACAAATGTAGTGTTAAATATGCATATGCAGTCTTATTCCTAGAAAATGACCTTGTTTTTATATAAGCAATGCTTATAAACATTACAGAAAGGTACTTTCGTAAAGTATAAATACCTTCAAACTTACCTAATATTTCATTGCCTTTCTTTTTGCAATAAACAAAAATAGCATAAACCCTTCAAGATAACTTTAGACCACACTTTTTTCACAAATTATTCGTGCGCTTTGCTCATGCAGTTTAAAAATAAAAATTCGTTCAGACTCATGCAAAGGTATCATTCAAACCAGTTTAAAAAT